ACATATGAACTTGGATTCATATGGAAAAAGAGCAGAATAGAACGAAGACGTCTCTCATCAAGAGGAAGGCCCAATTCAACCAACCTGGAAAGCACGGTGTCGATATTTTTGATATGGTGCCCGTCTGTACTCCTGCACATTGTTTTCAGTTCTCTTCGATGTGATCACTGAAACAGTTGTTGCCAACTTAAATTTCATTGACAAGAACTTTAGAGAGTACTCACATTCAGGAACATAATCATCTGTAGGGTCAGCTGGAGGAGGGCAATAGAATCGGCGCATGCCGACTTTATAAGTGACCGTGCCATCTTTGTTAACCTCCTTCTGCACATTACTAATATAGTCGAATGCCTCATTATTGAGCACCTGAAAAGTGAAATGCTACAATGTCCCAAGAGCTACGAATGCTACGGATATCAACCAAAGCAGCGCCAAGACAGCAGAGCTGTCTGCTTTTCAAGTCCTTAAGAACTAGAGTAGCTACTGAGAAGAATTGATCTTACAAATGGCCTGCACATTCTCCTTTTTATCATATCTTCGTGATTCGGTAACACCAAGACGGGCGGGTATATCGCGGGCTGGCGAGGTCACGCCGCCCACGCCGCGCGCGGCAAACTGTGCGACTATTGTCGCAACGGTTCAAGAGTGCTTTGACGTCACAAGATTTGTCTTTGAAGCAAGAGATTCGCTATAGTCCACATCATCACACAAGGTAGCCGTGGTTCATCTCTGATCGTTTTCGTCATCAATACCAAATACCACCATGCATTTGATGTCTGACGACCCTTGACTCTTTTAAGCATGGTTTCTGAGGGTGGTCTTCCGAAACAATATGTTAGAGGCCGGCCCTGCGCTCATTTGATGTTCATGCGTCTTATATGGACAATAGTCCTGCTTAAGAGCGTGCAGAATGTACAACTTTCGCAGCTCAGAACACTTGGGAAAGCGCTGCTTGCTCGCGACGGAACCGTGACTACGCCCCTTGGCCAAGGCGACGCCCAACTCTGATTTTTGAATGCCCCGTAATGGTACGTGATCCACTACTCTCTCTCCATTTTGTATGGTGAGACTGAGGTGATCAGATGAAAGAGCTTGCACCAACAAGTGGGAACTCGTCACGACGCCATGTCTCTTTTTTATTCTAAGCCCGCCGAACTCTCACGCATATCGCCAGCTCTATTCGGCGCTTATACATGTACAGCATGGAGTGCTATATGGGAGAATTGCGGGTTTAAGCGGCATTTTTTGGCAGATGTCTCGCATGTTTTCTTATTATCCGTTGTCATTCGTACTCAGAGGCAGCACAAATCACGCAATTTTTGTAAGTCAGGGGTGGCTTCGGCTGGTGTTCTGGTTCCGCCTAGTAGAAATCATCTTTCACATATCATCTTAGTCACGAAAAACCATGAAATCTAAACCCGATATTCGAAGTACGACCGTGCCAGTGTTGCGGCTCGGGCGCGGTTGTACACCATAGCAAGTGGGCGGTTTGTAGCCGTTTGAAATATATCGGAACTTGGGAGCTTTGAAAGGATCCGATCTCGCTCAGAAAGAGGAGGCAGTTGATGAAGGTCTTAGAGATAGCAATATCATCAACGTCAACGTTTGCTATTAGATGTTCGCGGCATTCGTACGTTTCAACCGGGGATGTCGTAAATTGACCCCGCTAACAGTCGCGGCCCGAGACGCCACTCCGGTGATTATCGCCAACTACTCAATAAAATAGTTGCTAAAACATTTAGGTTAGGGGCGTGTTAAGAGGACTCCCGTGCTGGAGCCGCACTGTATCTGAATTGCTGATCATTGTGGAAGGACAGCTGTTCACCAGCCCAGCTCCTTCCACCTTTCAGGCTCAGACAAAAGCTTACTTCTGCGGATTAACGTGGTATTTCTCATTTAGCACAAGGGGTTCCTCAAATCCCCTCCAATGTTATTAGCGTCAAAGAATATTGTCCCTACTATCCTAAAAATCAGGGCATTTGGATTCTGTGAACATGGACGCCGGCAACAGACAGCTTAAAGGCACTTTCCGCGATAAAATAAGGCTATGACCTTTCAAATGTGTCAGACGATCCGGAAGGAGATTGCGGAGGCTGCGCTACCTTTAAAAAGTGAAAATCCGCAAGAATTCCGCTTACCTAACCAATAGGGCGAAGGCCCTTAGGCCCATGCCGACCCCCACCGGCTGCTAGCTACTAGCTAGTAGCCACTATGCTATCTCTCTCCATTCCGAATGGTGAGAGTGAGGTGATACGATAAAGAGCTGATATCTTTATGATAACGACGAGTGGAAATTCGTACAAACATGCGTTTTCTTCATTGCATGCATGTACAAGTTGGGGTCGATATGGAATCCTATTTAGGGCATTTTCGGCTGTTTTTCTGCTGCTTTTCTCCGCTACTCAGATACCTAGCCCTTTTTCGTTCCTATGTGGGTTCCGTTACCCACAATCTGTGGTCGCGGGCTTTGCCTTCAAGGGGTTGTACCAAACTCTAACGAAATCCACTAAATTCCGCAGCTAAGCTTTACCCTTTTTGTCGGGCGTTTTGTGCGAAAGGAATATAGTCATGAAATACTATCGATTTTTGCCGCCGAAGGCAAACGCTTCTATGCCGCGAGCATGAAGTAGCGCTCAAACAGCATCTGGAATTGATGGAATTATCAAAACTGCATGGAAATTATTGACTGCTCATCGTGGTGCGATAGCCAAGCGGCAATGAAATGCTGTGGTAGGCCCTTCGTTTGGGGCTCATGCTCGTTGGTTATGAGATAGAGATCTTACCTCTCCTCCAATGACAGATTTGTCCATGTTTCACTGTTGCCACACCTCGATCTGACGACAATCGCAGAGGTTCAAATGTACAGCATTGAAGGATCACTCTGAAACAATTCCATAGATAGTCACCTTCAGAATCCGCTGGAGAAGGCTGGGTATAAGTCTTAAGACGTTTTTACATTCCGGAGAAGTGGCTGCTTGTTGTTCTTCCCCCTGAGGGCCAGTACCCTGGTTGACTTTCCAGCACACATCACTGGCAGTCTCCGCCCTTTTTCGTTTCCACAGCGAGACTCCCTCTTCTGTTGCCAAGTTCGGGACAGCAGGGATGTGGGATTTTGTTATGTAATATGCCGACGTTGGGCGTAGCGAGCGAACGCCGCGCACAAGCAACGCGACTAAGTTGGCTCGTTCGGCGTATTTGGATTTTAGAGTCTCGTCTCTGCTTGTATGCATACCTCCATGCTAGGATTACCCCTTATAGATGATGAGAAATGAGAAGTCGTATGGATATGCATGGTGCGGACCCCCGCCCCCTACCGAAGCAGAGCCCGGATCCACGTGCGGCGACAAGGCAGGCAAACAAGGATGGTTATAAGAGGGATCTCAGTACTATATTTCAATATCTCTCGCTGCAGCGGAAGACGCTGCAAAGTAGACAAGGGAAACGGCAGCATCCGATGAGAACATCGAAACCTTTGCAAGCGGCAAATTAACGAGGTCGTCTTCGCATTTCCGGTCTTCAGGAAAACAAGAGATTGCAATGCCATTAATTATGGCGAGGAACACCTATGCGGGAAAGGCGACAGCGATTCAGGAGTGGAGCGATTCGCGGCTGCCCATTGTTTGTCCCTCGTACATGGATTCTGGATTGCGAAACCTTATTCATGCATTCGCTGTAAAATCGGGAACGTTTTCTGAACTTTGAAAACAGCAAAACCCGAATTCTGCATTCTTGAACATTTTTCTAGGTTTTACGCGTTTTTCCCCAATTTGCCAGATGAGGGCAGAATATATAGGCGTTTGCTAGTAGGAAAATATGGCAGTTAAACTTTCTCAGTGAAGATAAAGCCTATTTTAGTCCATGATAGCTTGCCATATCTCAGACTCAGCCACGGCATGTTGTTGAAGTTTATTGTGACGATTGGAAGCGAGAATTTCCACTGGAATGATGCTTCTTTTGCCTGGAAGAACGTGGGCCTTCTGTTATCCTTGGCATAATTCGTGAGATATTTTGGTGAAGCCGGTTGGAAACTGGAATGTTCAAGATCCAAGCCTGCTGCTTGTCTCTGGCACAGAAAATTTTTTTTTTTTTTTTTGTAATGGATACAATGAACTGGCGAGAGTAGTAAACTGGCGACCGTTCACGAACAGCGGAGAGCCGTGAACTGGAACCTCTCATTCTAGTCTGGAGCAAGTTCAAAGAAACGCAGGTCTTGAGTTGCGCCCGGAATTATGGCCTGGTATCCCGGAGACAGGACATTGTATAGAGTAAACACCCTCAAATCAAAATTACGGTGTAGCTAAAATGAATCTGACCCCTCGCAGGAGCCATCTGCCTTGAAAACAATTCCTGCGATCAGGTGCTCAGCCGTGAACCAGTTGCCAGTCAAAAACTGATAAGTACAGGAAAAGCAGAAAAAAGTTGAGGAACACTCTGAACAGAGACGCTCACTAAGCAGTGGGGGCCTTTCACGAGTTTGTCGGACGTCGGCAAGCCCAATCAGCAGGATTCGACGTGCAACCAATTCCCGGCAAGAGCATAGGAAAACCCTACGACGCTCCAGGCAACGCTATGTACACACGCAATTCCGCTTGTAAGCCGTTGTCTTGCAGAGTTACAGTACGCGGTTGCACCGGTTGCAAAACTCGCGCGTCTCTAGCTTCGTTATCTCGCCATTTCGAGTGACGAAAGTGGTATATTCTCTGCGAGTGCGGACAACGATGCCAAATACACGGAGGCATTTCGCTGATCACTTGATCGCAGGAAGTGTCTCTAACAGGATTTTAAAATGGCACAATGGTACTATCTTGCCTGTAAGAGAAGAAAAATCAGTGAGTATGACCGCGCCTGGACTAATTGATTGTACCACCAGAATAATGCGTTTTCAAACACCCCTACGATTCTGAATAGAAAAGAACGGAGTGGACGCGGAAAGAAACCCCTGCAGTTGTTATTCTTCCACTTACTCCGAAACGATTCGAAATGTTTGCGTCCGCCGAAGATTGATTCGAAAATTTGATTCGTAAATATTCAAGTGAATGAGCATATACTGAAAGAATGTGCTTACTGCCATTGAGCCACGCTCAGCCCATCCGAAACAGCTCGGTCGTGCACATCCGAGTACAGGCTGGCCATCGGGTAGAGCCTGAAAACGGGAATAGAGTGACGGGACTGGCATCAACAAGTTCTTGAAGCAGACTATACGGCACGTACACAGCTTCAGAAAGAAGAAATATTGCAGGTTTGAGGATCGCTTGCTACCGTACGCCGCGCCGCTTACATTCAGCCTTTTTTTTAGTGTGAAGTCATTCAGACGCTTTAACAGCCGCGTGTGGACCTATCTCATGACTATCCTATTGCTGACCCGCTTCGTGCGTGGCACGTCTTCACCTCGAGGGGTTCCTACTGGACATGACCGGGTTACGTAAAAGGGCGTCAACGGTCTACGAAATCTTTGCACATCATTTAATCAGAAACGAATAGGGGTGAAGGGACAATGTGGTGCAATGAGCTTGATGACATAACCTCGTCATCCGGGCAGTTGATTAGGGCGGTCGTCAACGGGCGCAGCGCGTGCCAGGAACTATTTGCTTTTTCCAGGCTAATTTAGTCATTTTTTCCAACTTTTCACTGTTTTGGCTACTTTTTCCCAGATTAGCAGCTCCTTATCTTCACAAGGTGGAAAAAATGACTAAATTAGCCTGGAAAAGCAAATAGTTCCTGGCACGCGCTGCGGCCCGTTGACGACCGCCCTAATCAACTGCCCGGATGACGAGAAATATTTTTCCTCGCCTTTTCATTTTTATTTCATTTGTTTTGCGATTCTTGTGTGTTAGGACTAGTCATGCTCTTCAGGTCATTCCTCTCGCACCTGACAGATGTTGAGAGGGTGACAATCGAGTCTAGAAATCATTTTCTTGGGATTATATGCCTTGGAAGAGCCACATAACATTCGCAGCCATAAACTTAGTCCACCCGGATATTTATAAAGTACCGTACCCCCGTTAATCTCACAGCCTCACTCTAAACGTCGTTCTGTACTGGAACCAAAGCTCTCAAAATCGATGGAAAAACTTGAACCGCCATCTGATCTATGGCAGATGACCGTCACCACTGTTGAGGAAAACCTGTCTGGTTAGATGACCGTCTGCCGGCGGTCATGTAAAAACTGAAACAAGAAACTAGGTCGTTCGCCAAAACTTTCTAGTGCTCACATCGGATGCAATCACTCCTAGCCGTCACGAGCGCCGTTTCCCCTTCTTAGTCTTTGGCTTTCAAGAACCAGTTCTCCCGAATCATCCCTCAATATGGTTCGGTGCATTGAGCGAACGCATTAACAGCTTCTATCAGACGGTTCGGAGCATATTAGGAACCCGCTAATATGTGTGGACTGAACAGATTTGCATTCAGTCAAGACAAGCTTTTCAGGTATCGGTCAAGCCCGACATAGGTCCAGTTCTAGGCGAAACCCTTATACAGTACTGGCGATCGAGTAGATGAACAGCTAGAGGAGCAGGAATCAGTCACGCCAGAGCACG